GACTCAGCAAATCATTATTGCATACCAGCACTTATAAATCCAAGTCTTTCAGCTCAGATTTACAAATTCTTTTTTTTTCATCTTTATTTAAGAACATATAGATAAATAAAATAGTCATATAAGAAGAAAGGTATTAAAATGCATATGGAATGTCATTTAGAACAGGGGACACAAGCATATGCATCTATAAAAGGTAGAAAGCATAACACAATGCATCATTAAACATTCTTCCTTAGTCTCATCCCTCATTTCTGAGTGTTACCAATTTCCAAGCTGAAAAGGTAAATTAAGTCGAACAAGAGAACTCTTAGGGCTCTTTCACACTTGACTAATTTCTAACTCTTGCCAAACGCCCCTATAGCATTTGACAGGCATTAGACAGGCATTTGGGAAGCATTTTTAATGCTCCTCAAATGCTCCCTAAACACCCTATGTGCGTTTTTGAGGCGTTTTGTTAGGCATTTGCCAAGCATTAAAACCGCACAACAAATGACTATAATGAAGTTTAATGGTATTAACGCTCCGCAAATGCCCCGCAAACGCCTGCCAAGCGTTTGAGAAGGGTCAACATAGACTTGAGTGGGAGGCTTCAACTCCTTCTGACAACATGAGGCGTCAATTTTGCCGCGACGCTAACGCTTCAGTGTGAACAGCACTGTGTGCTGCCATGTGTAGAATTTTCATAGGCGTGTGAGGAGCATTAAAAACGTTTCCGAAATGCCTGTCTACCGACTGCTAACAAAGCTAGTGTGAACTTAGTCTGACATACCTGCTTTATCAGGTCAGCTCAGAGAGAGATGGGCACTAGATACTGTGGAAAAGTATGATCTTGTGATGGTCAATTAGGGTGTGCATTAAAGCAAAAAGGATCAAAAGGGAAAACAAATTGGGATAAAAGGATAAACAGAGTGGGAGGAACCATACCACTGGTATAAGGGTAAAAGCCAAAAAAAGGAGGAAAGGGAGAGTGGAAAGTAGAGGGGTAATGAGGGGTTAGAGAAATCCAAAAGAGGATTCTGTGTTTATAAAGATGGTCAGATCTTCAATCACAGGGGCAGAAGGAAACATTTTTGGGCATGAGTGCATAATTTTCTCTTCAAAAAGGGAAAGAAAAAAGGGTAGAGGCTCTAAATTCTGATTTGTGCAATCTATTTATAGGATTCAGAGAGTCTGAAGTTTATCCACAGCAGCTATGCCTGCTGGGATTTTAGGATAGTGTCTGACCTCTTCCATAGAGAAGATGGAGTTTATCTCATGTATTAATTTCTGGTGTTGAGAGAGGAAGAAAGGATTTCTAGTGTAGGAGGACTGGAACTTTGAGCTTTGGGCAAAAGGTATGCTTCAAGAACTGAGATTTGTGTAATCACATTTCGGATCTCAAACCAGTAGGGCTGAATTAGAGAGCAGCCCCATAAGATATTAAAAAGAACCTTTTTTCTGTAATGCTGAGCTCCATCTAAATGCATAGCTACATATATATAATTTATCTTGTGTGGCAAAAATATTTAAATTTTTTAAACCAGGTTTGAGATTCTCACATTCAAGCATAGTAAAGTCTTAAACACCAGTCAAAGACCAAAATGCAGACAGCTGCTTAGAAAGTCAAGAAACAAAATCACACTGGATAGCTCATCCTTCTGTTCTAACCATAGTAAACATGTCCCCCAGTCTTAGGCTAATAGCTAGAGAGCAAAAAGTCTGATTGGTTCAGGCCCCTAGTAGTACCTCTACCACATTTCCTCTGTGCTGAGAATTAAAGGAAACAACAGGTCAGACCATAGGTACACGAATAAAGTGTTATTAAAGGACCCTGCATTCACTGTATCTGGTCTCCCACAGTACACAGAACATGAAAGTGAAAATATTTTAGTAAATATAAACTGCTAAATACCTTTTCTCATCAGCAGTTAGAGCAGTCTTGTCACTTCTATCAGTGTCCAGCAAAGCATATGTTAAAGCTTGTAGGAGGAGTTTTCATTCTGATCTAGGAGGATGCAGAACCCCTGACCTCTGTCTGGACAGTGAGGATTGGCCCTGTGCTGATCACATGCACTCTCCCAAGAAAAGAAAAAAAACTCTCTAGCAATACACACCAAACTGAGCATGTGTGAGGTGACTCCACACGATACAGTATGTCTTATCGGGAGATAAAAGGGGGACACTGTAAGAAGGGGAGGATCAGAGAAGCCAGGATCAAACAGCCTTTTTACACAATGCAGAGGATTAACCACTTAGATTCCACAGTGAGTATAACAAGCATACTTTACTGCATATACAGACTGATTTTACTATTCTGGGTTTAGTTACACTTTAACTGCTCCAGGGAATATCTGATTGCCTCTCGGGGGATCAGAAAGGGATTTTTTCCCCTGCAGGAGCAAATTGGATCATGCTTTGCTGGGTTTTTTGCCTTTCTCCAGATCAACTGTGGGTATAGGATTATAACTTTTTTTTTGGTTGAACTGGATGGACTTTTGTCTTTTTTCAGCCAGACTAACTATGTAACACGTATTTATTTTAAGTGATCAGTGAACTGGATTAAATGCTGTTTTATATGAGTCTAAAGTTCAGCTTAAAGTTACTCATGTGCATTATTACATTTACATGACTGCCTGATCATATGTAATTTGACAATTTTAAAATAGTGTAATCATCAATTGTGTAAGTGAATGTAAAAAATAATACTTCAACTTTGCTGTCCCAGGCAATAGACAATATATGGCTTTAAAAAAAATTAATAGATAAGCTATAATAAATTCATATTAATAAATCAATAATAAATTAATAAATCAATAAATTAATAGCTTATATCACCGCGCCAAAAATGTGAAATAATTATAATGAAATAACTATTACTCAAATATGTGACTAGTGCTGCTATTTTAAACAAATGAAAAAACATATAAATAAATGGAAATGGTATTTCCATTTATTTAAATATATGGTTTTAGCTAACCAATTTGAAAGGTAGATGTTTGTAATTATACCCCTTTTATTTATATATCTTCCTTTCACCACAGAATGTACAAAGGTGGTCTGGTCCACAGTAGTATAACAATCAAAATAAAAAGGCAATTTGACCAAAGCAGCTGTGTCACTCAGCACAGCTTGTTAAAATACCAAGAAAAAGAACCTTCAATCGGACTGTTCCAGTGCTGTACTATACCTCAAATTCAAACCTTTTTTCATGATCAAAATACTTTGAAAAAAATACAATATCTACAAAGGTTCTGTGTGTTTTTTTTCCTTCATAAAGTTTGTACATTTTTGTCCTTTTATTTTCATGTGGTATCCTCTCAATAATACAATTACTGCCCTTGCTTGGCTGCATTCAGTCTTACCCTAGGTTCACACCCCAAACGTTTTCCGCAGCGTTTTGCAAAAACACACTACAGTCCATTTAACACGATTTCCTATGGGACACATTCACATCTCCACATTTTAACCTAGTGCATTTTTTGGAAAGGGTCAGGGACTTTTTTTGAACACAAAAAGTTGCGTTTTTGGTTCTATAGACTTCAATGGAAAAGCTGCAGAAAAGCTTGTAGTACATTTTTGCCACAGTTTTGATGCATTTTGCATTTGAAATCAGCCTAGCAATAAGAATAAAAATGCAAAATTAATCAAAAATGCAGCAAAAAAGCAATGTAGAAACGGGTCAAACGCAAACTGCACAGGCGTGAACCTAACCTTAGGGAGGGAGCCATGGTTGTCAGCCAGGCTGGACTTCAAAATGTCTTCTTCTCTTCTCTTCTTCTCCAGAACAGTTGAAGGGGTGGGGGGTTGTGCTTTCAGTTCAGCTCAAAGAAAGTTACAGTGGCAAAGTGACAGTTCCTTGACAAAGAGCCCCCACCCAACCAATTTATGTTCACCTACCTAATGCTCTCCTGCCATTTCTTTTTCTGTTGTAGATGATGCCAAATCCCCCCCAGTGTCGGTTGGTGCCAAATAACAGGGGGAGCTGTGATGTCACTCTCTCAGTCATGTGACAATGCTCAGGCCTTGTGATTGGCTGTTGTACCCGAAAAAATGAAACAATGGAGAAGGTGATGTAATTTTTGCCAGCTAATACAGGAGAAAAGAGTAGAAAGGTAGTATCGTCAAAGCGTGTATCAGTGGGTCTGATGGATCCCTTTGCACAAGCACTGATCCTGAATTTAAAGCCCAGCTTTAGTCAAGCAAAAAAGATGTATTTTGTTTTGGGTAGACAAAGTTAGCGCCTTTTTCAGGTTTTATTTCTGTAGATGTAATCTCACTTTCTGTGACGACAAGAGATTTGACATTGAAATTATTCAGGGATAAGGAAGGACTACTTTTTGAAATGTAAAAGATAGCAGGCAGAATGTAAGTTTAGTGGAAGGTTGACCCATTCAGGTATTCTCATCCTCCTTCAGCCTGTATATTACTGTAGCATTCATTCCCTGCAATCAGCTGTAAGTAATAGTGCTCTCTTTATAAAAATTGATTTAAAGTTCATTTTTCTAATTTTCATTAGTTTATTTTATTAAAGTGAAGTTTTAGAATCCAGTGGGGTGGATGTGCAGTTAGGAAAAAGCATCACTCTCACAGTCAGTTATGATAACCACTTTAACCACTTGCCCTCCAGAGGATTTACCCCCCTTCCTGACCAGGCCATTTTTTGCGATATGGCGCTGCATTATTTTAAGTGCCAAATGGTGGTATTTGATTGCCTGTGTTTTTTTATTTTTTGTGTTATAACCAAAAAAAAATGACAAACGCCAAAATGTATTCTGCTACATGTCTTTGCTAAAAAAATCCCAATACGTGTAGATTAATTGGTTTACGTGAAAGTTATAGCGTTTACAAATGGAGGTATATATACTGGAATTTGTTTTTACATTTTTTTTGTTACTTGTAATGGTGGCAAACAGCCACTTATAGCGAGCATTTTGACACTGGGGGAACTGATTAGGTGTCACTGTCATCCCCAGTGACACCAATACAGTGATCAGTGATAATAAAAAGCACTGACACTGTACTAATGGCACTGGGCAGGAAGGGGTTAACATGTGGGGCGCTCAAAGGGTTAACTGTGTGCTGTTTTACAGTGTGCTGTGTGTGCTTTACACTGTAAGCACACTGCTTTGTATGGCTCTGCTAAGCAGAACCATGCAAAGCAGTGTGAAGGAGCTGACAGGGGAGAGATCTGTGTTGTTTATACACTGGTCTTTCCCCTGTAATACTCGGAGATTGCTGGGTGCCGGCGTGGAATCACAGACTGGGACCTGGTGACTGACAGCCGAGGCCACAAATGGTGGCGCAGGTAGGGCAATAACCAAAACTGCAAAATGTATATATACATGATTTTGCGCACCCGTGCTGCCCTGTAGCAGTATTTCTGCTATAGGGCAGTGTGGACATGGTTAATGCCAGTTTTCACCTCTCCCTCATCTTAATAGGATGATTTGAACACTGCTATTTGGTTGCCCGCAGGACTTTAAGAGACCCTATCAGCACATGGTCACTTGTACTCAAAGGACAACCTTTAAAAGAACATTCATTATACTTATCTTTCCAATAGACGGTGTGTTGAAACGCCACCATTTCGACTCTTCCCTGGTCACAGCAGATATTCTGCACTTTGGTGTGTTTAGAATACTTGTTCCTCCACCACACACTGTGGTTCAGTACAGGCCATGAGAGCTGACAAATGAGACAACAGGAGGAACCACAGCATGCATTTGGGTTAACAGATATTCAACCTACCTGAAGTGTTGAAAACCTGCTGAGGCTGAGAAGAAACTAATTGGCCACCTTATAACACCTGGAGGCATTCTCCCTGTGTAATCTGGATGCTTTGCATTCATTTCTGAATGAAAGCCACTATTCCCCTACTTACTGTTATGGGAGAATATTTTTTTTTAACATGTTAGCATCATTGCCTTGATACTTTGTCATCATCGCCTTGGGTACCAGAGGACCATATCCCAGCATTGCTGGTAAGTTGCAATTTATTACATTTCTGTTCTTTGGTTTAGCCTTAGGGTCAAAGACTACGGTTTGCTAATGCATGCGGGTTATATGCTGAGACTGTATCCCACTTTATTTTGTGGTAAATACTCGGTTATAGTTAATAATCTTGACATATTCGATCAACAGAAGTAAATCTCAGCAATGAATGTGAACTGAAGAATACAACACTGAACTGGTGGTAGTGCAGAGACAATCCAGTGCACATTTAAACATTGAGACATAAATACACATGCAAATACTTCCTGAATCGCCCCTTGCTAAGAAGAATTCTATTTTCCCATTTCCATTGAAAGAACAAATGGTTAAAGAACTCAGTCACCAAATAAAGTTGATGTTGACCTCTAACTCAATGACATATAGTTTGCTAAAGTGCTGTGTATCAAAACAAATGCTATTTTTTAAATAAAATAATTATTTACATTTTTTTATGCTACATCTTAATGCTGCTGATCTCCTGCAGACTCTGTAAAGTAACTTCTTGTCTACATCTATGCACCTCAGCAATCACTGCATTTTGATGGTAACACATGCTCGTCTCCAGGACTTCTCCAGAGCTTCCCCCATACTCTGGAACTCTCTACCCCAATTTATCAGACTATCGCCTACTCTGCTCACTTTTAGGCAACCTCTGAAAACCTATCTCTTCAGGGAAGCCTATCCTGCAATCAGCTAATAATGGAATTCTCTTCTACTCCTCCTACCAGTCCATCCCCCACAGTTACTACCTTTTGTACAACTAGCCCCTCCCTCCTAGATTGTAAGCTCCAAGAAGCAGGGCCCTCCTAACCCTCTTGTATTGAACTGTATTGTTGTTGTATTGTCTCCTGTTATATTGTAAAGCGCTGAGCAAACTGTTGGCGCTATATAAATCCTGTAAAATATAAATAATAACAACAGTGAGCCATGGCTCTGTACTGTATGCTGTAACAGCCACTGGTAATCTCCACTGTAATCCCATATGACAGGGTAACAACACACAGCAGCACCAATGTGAGGCTAAACATTGTTACCCAATAACAAGAAGTAACTGACCAAGGATCTTTAGGTTGAGATTACCAGGTATTATTTTAACCACTTGCCCTCCAGAGGATTTACCCCCCTGCCTGACCAGGCCACTTTTGCAATACGGTGCTGCGTTATTTTAACAGACAATTGTGTGATCATGCAACACTGTACATAAATTAGATTTATGTCATTTTTTCCCACAAATAGAGCTTTCTTTTGGTGGTATTTGATCATCTATACGTTTTTTATATTTTGTGCTATAAACAAAAAAAGACTGACAGTTTTGAGAAAAAACAATATTTTTGACTTTTTGCTATAAAACATATCCAATGAAAAAATGGAAAAAATCGAATTTTTCTTCATAAATGTAGGTATATATGTAAATAGGTTACGTGAAAGTTATACCGTCTACAAATGGCGGTATATATACTGGATTTTTTTCTTTTAATACTAGTAATGACGGTGATCAGCGACTTATAGCAGGACTGCGGCAGGCATTCTGACACTGGGTGGGAATTGACTAACTGCCACTGACATCCCCAGTGGCACTAATATAGTGATCAGTGCTAATAAAAAGCATTGAAATTGTACTAATGACACTGGGCAGGAAGGGGTTAACACATGGGGCAATCAAAGGGTTAACTGTGTACTGTGTTTTTTATACCTTGTCCACTGTGTTGTGTTTTACTAAGGAGACATGCTGTTTTGTATCTCACTGCTGTGCAGAGAGATACAAAGTAGCATGTCCATGCTGACAAGTGAGAGACCTGTGTTGTTTACATACAGGTCTTCCCCCTGTCAGCTTTGCCTGAGGATCACCGAGTGACAGCTGGGAATTGCCAGCTGGGACCCAGTGATTGACATCTCTAGCCGCCAATAGCAGCGACCCCTACCCGGAAATGCAAATCAAGCATATATATACGTGATTTTGCGCAGCCCTGCTGCCCTGTAGCAGTACTTCTGCTATAGGGTGGAGGGCAAGTGGTTTTAATGAAGACTGTAAATTTAAAACAGTAAAAATTACTTTTGATTTTACAATGTTAACACTTCTACATTTTATTTAAAACACAGCCATAGTTTACATTTGCTTTAAGCCATACCTTACTCAGAGGTGGACTCTGGTTAACGGATATTAGAAAAGTTAACCTGGCTACTAGATAAGAGCTGTCTTGCAATGTTTGACATTCGTTAGGTTCATTAAAGTGGAACTGCAGGCAAACAGCTATTCATAGTTGAAACACAAATGTGTGAGCCGTCTTACCTGACAAAAGATATAAAGTACAGAAAGCTTTCTTAATGATTATGCGGATCTGTGCTCTGAGGACCCTACACAGTCAAACACAGACTGCAAAAGGTTAGGAGTAATACACTGCTCAGGGACAATCAGAGAGCTTGGAGAAAACACTTATACTAGATCATAGAATCTTATTATATCTGCCAGGTAAATCATCTAGCTAGTGAGGAAGGCAATAACTACACAAATTGTCCTTTAAACATATAGGGGACAATTCACAACGTGATATATTGCCGCAACCAAGTATGGCATTCACTAAACAATGCTACTAAAATAATGCATGAGTTAGTCATGAGGTATTTTAGTAGTGAAAACATGCAATGATATAACAAGTCATCAGCTGTCAGTGAGTTCACCGTTGACAGCTGAATGTAAAAAAAACTACAAAAAAAAATTGCGTGGGGTCCCCCCCACAATCCATACCAAGCCCTTTGGGTCTGGTATGGATTTTGAGGGGAACCCCCACGCCAAAATTTTTAAAAATAGGGTGGTACTCCCCATCCAAAATCTATACCAAACCCTTATCCGAGCATGCAGCCCAGCAGAAACCGTACCCGAAAAAAAAAAAAGGCTCCACTTTTGATGAAGGCTCCCGCCATCTGTCATCTCTGTTGCCTCACAGTTCTTAAATAACTAAGGGGCGGGGCCATCTAGTGACATCACTGGGTGACCACGCTGCCTTGTGCCATCATGACCGAGGCATGCTGTCTTGCAATGTTTGCAAGGCAATGTTTTTTTTTTTTTGTTAACGGATTGGCGGTGGCAAGGGCATCATGACTGACAATGGATCTACACCGGGGGAACATTTTTAAAATTTTAGTTTTTTTTATAAAGGACTTGTCAAAAACTGCCTCCTGTGTTTTTTTACACTACCCTTTTTTGTTATGGTGAATGAGTAGGGGTACCATAGGTGTGGAGCTCACTCGTTCCCCCCCATTTCCTGACCTGCCGGGCTGCATGCTTGGATAAGAGTCTGGTAAGGATTTTGGGGGTACTCCACACCATTTTTTTTAAAAAAAAGGGCTTGGTATGGATGGGGGGGGATTTTAATTTTTAATTATCGTCAATTATTTTTTTTTACATTCAGCTGTCAGCGGGGAATCCTGCTGAGAACTGATGACTTATCATTTGTTAAGGATGCGCCTTAACAACCAGTACATACCGCATGCCTGGACCACTTCTTAATTATCACATGCATTTAATAGTTTATACCCTTCTGTGAATTGACTTTAAGGTCTTTTTATGTGGTATTTACAAAGCGTTTTTGCTATTTGCCGTAAATGCCACAACCTAGCAATATTGACAATAGTGAATTGACATTTTCAGTATCGCAAGCAATATGTGGTCACCTGCCTGACCTAACTCATGTGATAACCTATAGTGAATTGTCCCCATAATAATTTTGCAATTTGTGGTGATATAGTATCTTTCAACGAGTCTCAAATGGTCTTGCCTCAGATTATTATCAGAATATTCACAAAATTAATGGCCTGGCAGTTAATGTAGCCTATTCTTTAAAGGCTCTACACTCTCCCAATTGATTTTGGAGCCTTTTAAGAATGGTATTAAATATGCTTGTTTAATCAAATGCTTTAAAGCAGTTGGTCCTCTTAATTTTTTACGAATAAATTGGGAACCCTTATCAAGCCTGCTTTTACTAGATTTGATAAATCAGCTAAAAGTTAACCACATGATTCAAACAGATGCTTCAAATGTGGGGTCAGCTTGTTTCACAGTTTTCTTAAAAATTTCAAAGTCAAAATACATGTCTGGCTCATTGGACAAAGTAATTTAGACTTTGTTGGTAGGTACTAGAAGAGTAATAATATGCCT